TTTATTATAAAATTATTATTATGAAATAAAAAAATAATGATGATAAAAAATAGCAAAAAAATGAAAACAAGTTCTCTCCACAAGGAAAAAACTATTTAAGCAAAAACAAAACAGTGGTGCTATGGAAAGTTTCATTAAAAATGATGTGGCAGTCAATGTGTTAAGATATGCTGCTCTTCCATCCTTATTTACTGCTGTAACAATCAGAAACTGTGAAATTATTTTTCATGATATAATTTTAAAATTAGCTGTTAACCAATGGTCTTGGCGGCCAGGAAGGTTTATGCATTTTTACCTCAAAAAATAATCTAGGGCAGGTGACATTCTTTGGAGGATTGAGAGGACCACTCAATGATTCCACTATTCCGGTTATTTTCTTAACACAGTTGCCAGGAAAGATTTAACCATCTGCGTTGTCTTCAGATTGGTCCTTGTAGTTTTAGAAGAATGCTTCGATGCTATGACTGTCAAAGTAGACAGCTCTAACTTAGGCTGCACTTCTGGACATTTGGTGCCCCTTATGGCTGCGATAGTGGGTGGTATCAGTTGTGAGTAATCCAGGTTAGGAGTAGGTATAAACTTCAGCCCTCATGTCAAGGTATGATCAATGGAGGCAGGTGTTACAAATTCAGAAGGCAGAATCAAAGAAGTGATATGCTTTGCTAGCGCAGCCTCAAGATGGTACGTGGGATGGGATCTTTTATTGACTAATGGTCTTAGTGGCCAGGAAGGTTTATGCGTTTTTACTTTGAAAAATAATCTAGGATAGGTGACATTCTTTGGAGGATTGAGAGGACCACCCAACGATTCCACTATTTTCTTAACACAGTTGCCAGGAAAGATTTAACCATCTGCGTTGTCTTCAGATTAGTCCTTGTAGTTTTAGAAGAATGCTTCGATGCTATGGCTGTCAAAGTAGACAGGTTTACAGAAAATTTCTGGTAATTCGAGAGTCGGGAATTGCACACTTCAGTGGCAGACTCTCCCAAACAAATACAGTGGTGCCTCGTATAACGTACGCCTCGAATAACGGACGCTGCGAATAACGGACTTTCTGTTTGACCGTTACGTGACTCGAGCAACGGACTTGCTGCGAACAATGGACTTTCCGTTCGGCAGTTACGTGAGAC